CGCCGAGCTGCGGCCTCAGCCGGCCCTGAGCGCCCAGTCAGGACGGGAAAGGCCTCACGGGGCATCGAGGGGCCCAGCGCGGCCGCGTGGTGCAAGGGGAAAGTCCTGAGGAAACCCCTGAGGAAACCCTTGGAAAGGGATTCGTGGAGTTCCCCATCAGTGAGGGAAGGGATGGGAGGAGCTGAGGGCGCTTGGATGGGTCAGCTGAGGAGGCTGAGGGGACATTGCTTGGGGTCTGCAGCTCTGAGCTCTGGGACAGGAGGGAGGGAACAGCTGGAGCTGTGTCAGAGGGTTGGGATGGAGATCAGGAGGTTCTTCCCCTAGAGGTGTTTGGGTACTGGGACAGGGTTAGGTTGGATATCAGGACAAGGTTCTTCTCCCATGGAACAGGATTAAATTGGCTCTCAGGAGAAGGTTCCTCCCCCAGAGGTGTTTGAACACGGGGACAGGGTTAGGTTGGATATCAGCACAAGGTTCTTCTCCCATGGAACAGGATTAGATTGGATATCAGGAGAAGGTTCCTCCCCTAGAGGTGTTTGGGCACTGGGAACAGGTTTAGGTTGGATATCAGCACAAGGTTCTTCTCCCATGGAACAGGATTAGATTGGATATCAGGAGAAGGTTCCTCCCCTAGAGGTGTTTGGGCACTGGGAACAGGTTTAGGTTGGATATCAGCACAAGGTTCTTCTCCCATGGAACAGGATTAGATTGGATATCAGGAGAAGGTTCCTCCCCTAGAGGTGTTTGGGCACTGGGAAGAGGTTTAGGTTGGAGAACAGCACAAGGTTCTTCCCCCAGAGGTGTTTGGGCACTGGAACAGCTCCCCAGGGATGAGGCCTCACCCCCTTCCAATCCCTCCCTGCCCTTTCCATGAGCAATTTTTCCTAATATCCAATCCTTGAGGTTGTTCCCTCTTGTCCTGTCGCTGTTCCCTAGGAGCAGAGCTCAAGTCCAACCTCCTCTCAAGGAGTTGTGGATGCTCCAGGTCCTGGAGAAATCCCAAACATCTCCATCAGTGCAATCGCTGCACTACACTCTCCAAAGTGGCTGCAAATTCCAGGAGTGGGGAAGTCTGCCAGGATGGAGATCCATCAGGGCATTCCCTCAGCTCTGCTCATCAAGGTTTGCAGCCCCTGGAGTGTCCTCCTGGGAATTCCCTAGGTGAAGGAACAGCCTTGATTAGTCTTTTTTTCCAACATTGTTACTGTTGCTTTCTGACACTGGAAAACCAACTTTGTTTCCTAGAATCCAATAAGCTCAGGAAGTCATTGCACTAAATTCTTTCCATTTAAACACTTCAATTTCCCTCCCTCACCCCAAATTCTTCCCATCACAACACAGAACACCTGAAATTTTAAGCGCTGAATGTTACCACTGACCTTTAAATCAACTTCTTTAAAAGAGGGGAAAATTGTGCTTTTATTGCTAATTTTCACAGCTTGTTTCTAACACCTTCATGGTTTCCTTTTTCCCTTCAGCTGCATTTAGGAAAACCTCAGTGGATGAGTTTATTACTCACACCAGTTCCTCTAACACCTCCTACAACTCAGCACTTCCATCATTCTGGAGTTTACTCATTAAATGGACAAACAATCCCAATTGCCAATGGTTATTTGGATTTTGGAGCTGTGGAAATCTAACAGAAGTTATTGCCCCAACAAAAAGATTTGGGGAATCTTTGGGTTTTGAGCTGAAAATAACATTTGCCATTCACTGGTGGCAAAGAAAATCAAATTATTTTCCATAGCTATAGTGAAAAATCATGATGAAAAAGCAGAACCCTTAGGAAAATCAAAAGCTTTACTTTTTCCTAGATCAGGAAACAAATTCAAGCAAAACAATCAACATTTAATTGAAAAGATATTTATTTTGAGAACTTCAACTTGCACATTGTACAAAAAAACTGACAAATTCAGCCAAAAAAAAAAAACAATCTATAAAATGTTATGGGGTATTTTTTCTCCCCTAACATATTAACATTATCATTTTCCAAAGGGTAAGAGTCAAACCCACCAAAAATAGGCACATTTGTTCCAGTCTGTCTGCAGTGAAGAGTAATTAAAACATCCCTGTTGAAATATTAACCTGCAAACTGTTGGAAAGAGACACGAGTGAAGCTTCTCTTGGCATGGCCAACACACAATGGGTCATTTAAAAAAAAGAGCCAGAATTGGTTATTTTCCATTTCCAGGTAGAAATGCAGTGAGACAAAGCCCCCCCCAAAAAAAAATTCAAATCATATCTTAACACACCTAACATTTTTTTTCCTAAAAAACCTGATCCTCTGCAAATCCACACTAATCACACCCAGCTCCAGTGTTCCATGGCACCAAGGAATCAAATCCTGTTGGCAAGTCTCAACGATTCAGTGCTTATGATTCAAAAAAACACAAAATAAAAAAGGAAAAAAACCCCCACGAATCTCTCTATCTGGTGATTCAGAGCCCAATCTTCCAGCAAAGGACAAAAAAAGGCACTTAGGAATGGCTTTAGGGTATTCCACAATGGCATTTCAGGCTGGAGAACAGCACATCATTCCCTAGGAGAAGTCCAGCTGAGGTAGTACTTGATTTTGCTCCGAGTACTTGGCTCTAAGCGAGCAGCTCTGAGGGTTGGGTAGATAAAAGGAGTAGGAAATGGCTTTGGAGCAAAGGGATAAAAAAATCAGTTCTTAAAAAACTATCAGTAAAAGCCCTTGGAGGGTACAAAGCCAGGAAACACCTGGGAGGAACAAAAGGTGACTCCCAAGTCTACCCTGACGAGGAAGATTGTTCTAGTAACCAACTAGAATTTTTGGGAATGAAAATCCATAATTAGGAGCACTCTGAGAACTTTCCTTAGCAGCCTCACCAGAAGCACTTTGAGTCCATGAATATCATTCTGTGCTGATCAATGGCAGTTTGAGGAGAGAGAAAGAGAGGCAAAAAATAAAATCAAAAAATGAAAAAAAAACCCCAATGCGAAGTTCAATAGTTAAAAATCCACAAACACACAAAAAAAAAGGAAATTCCTTGGAGTTTACAATTGTTTTAAAAACAAGGAAGACTTTAAACCTTTTTAGGGGGTTGGGAGGACACAGACTACTCTTTTTTATGTTTTTAAATTAAGCCCATGATTGAGTTTGAACCCAGGAAGAGGAGAGAGAAGTGCTTTGCGGAATCACCGGCCGCTGCCGTAGCCGGGGAAGAGCTGGGACAGGACACTCTGCAGGGTCTCATTCACCTCCATGCTGTAACTCCTGCCCAGCTCGTAGCGGCACGCGGGGCAGCTGTACACGTCGGCCCTGAACGACCTGTCCAGGCAGTCCTGAGGGACAAAAGCAACCAGGAGTGGTTAAAAGAGGAGATTCCTGGGCTGGCTCAGCTCCCACAGGGGTGGGCAAGAGTTGGGCAAGGGCAAGGCAAGGCAAGGCAGGGGAGAGGGAACTTGCAGAAGGAAAGCGAGAAGGAAATTTCAGTTTCCTTCGAAGCAAAGTTTCCTTCAAAGTTAGAGGAAGTTTCCTTCAAAGTTGGGGGAACTTAAAAGTTAAGGGAACTTAGAAGCAAAGTTTCCTTCAAAGTTAGGGGAAGTTTCCTTCAAAGTTTCCTTCAAAGTTAAGGGAAGTTTTCTTCGAAGTTATGGGAACTTAGAAGCAGTTTCCTTCCAAGCTGAGGGACGTTAAGAAGTTGGGGGAAGTTTCTTCTTTCAAAGTTAGGGGAACTTAGAAGCAAAGTTTCCTTCCAAGCTGAGGGACGTTAAGGTTCCTTCTAAGCTAAGGGAACTTAACTTAGGAGGGAACTTCCAATCATTCAGGTTGGAAAAGACCTCCAAGATCCTCAAATCCAACCTTTGCCCACTCCTCCCCAAGCTCACACAGCATGCGCAGCTTGTTCCCTCCCTCTGGAGATGCTTTGTGTTTGAGAGCTGCAAAAGCATCATAGAATCATCCTAAGATCATCAAGTCCAACCATTAACCTGTTACTGCTGTAACCACTAAACCATATTCTCCAGTGCCAGATCCAGACTCACATCCACACTTCCAGGGATGGTGACTCCACCTGGGCAGCTGTGCCAAGGTTTGACTACCCTTTCCATGCAGATATTCTTCCTGAAGTCCAACCTAAACCTCTCCCTGGTGCAGCTTGAGGCTGTTTCCTCTTTTCCTGTCCCTTGTTCCCTGGGATCAGAGTCTGATCCCACCTGGCTGCTCCTCTGTCCGGGAGCTGTAGAGAGCAAGCAGGTCCCTCTGAGCCTTCAAACCACAGACTTTGCTATGCCAAAGAACTTCCATCAAACCAAAGTTTGCACCTGTCACAGAATTTGAATTGTGAATGACCTTAAAGCTCATCCAGTCCCATGGGCAGGGACACCTCCCACCAGCCCAGGTTGCTCCAAGACCCATCCAACCTGGCCTGGAACACTCCCAGGGATGGAGCAGCCACAGCTGCTCTGGGAAATCCATCCCAGCCCCGCAGCTCCTCCCAGGGAGGAATTCCTTCCCAACATCCCATCTAGCCCTGCCATTCTTCAGCTTTAAGCCATTTCCCTTTGTCCTGTCAACTCCAGACTTGTCCAAAGTCCCTCTAATAATCCTGACTGGTGCTAAAGAACTAATTACTGGCAAAAATCCCAAACCAATCAACCTCTGCAGACCTCTCTAACTCCAGCCCCCGAGCCCCAGGGACACTCACCCTGCACACGTTGTGTTGGCAGACGGTCGTGACTGGCCGAAACACAACCTCCTGACAGCAGATACACAAGAAAGCCTCTTCCACTTTGCTCAGGAATTTCTGCAAAGGGAACATTGCAATCCAATTATTGCTCTTACCCTCTGAAAGACACACCAAAACCCCAACTTTGGTCAGAGAATCATCATCAGGTTGAAAGAGAATCATCATCAGGTTGTAGGAGACCTCTAAGATCAAACCCAACCATTAGACAAGTTCTGCTGTCATTATCTTCGTGACCTCCAAACCAGTGCTGAAGAGTTAGGCTGGGGATGGCTACACTGGAGTAAAACCACTGTGGATCTGAGGTGGTTCTTTAGTGCTGCCAAGAGGTTTGAGCACAGCACAACTCTAGCTGTGCCTTTATTGCTGGGGCTGAAGGGATGATGGACCTACCGGTCCATCTTTCAGAGCTTCCAATACTTCATTCCACAGTTTTTCATTGGCTTCATCACTTTTGATCAGAGATTTCTGCTGGGATGTCAGTTTGTATGGCTCAACCTTAGTTTTTTTTGGAGTCCCCTTTGGAGAGGCAATGAGTTTTTCCTCCCCACCTGAAAGAAAACAGTGATGTTTTTAAATAACCAACAACAACAAAATGAAAAAAAAAAAAATCACCAGAAAAGAGGAACTAGGTAAAAAAACACAAAAACCTACAAAGCTTTCCATATCCACTTGCCTACTCCACAAACCTGCTGATTTCCTTTTCCTCTTTCCTTTCCCTGGAGTATCAAACTCATCATCTCCATTATTTTCTTTTTCCTTATCTTTGTTGGCAACAGCTTCCAAATAGCCTTCGGGATACTAGAGGGAAACAAAACAAAGAGCATCCAAAGCTATCACACCAGTACAGACTCACAGACCAGTTCAGGTCCAAGAATATCCCTTGGACAGCTGCTCCAGGGGCAGGTTTCATCTGTTTTAAGCACAGATTCCTGCTCTTGTGGAACACTTCTAGAAATTCTAGGAAAAAAAAAAAAAAGTTTTGTCCTTTGAAGCCTCCTGAGGTATAAAGAAGACAAACAACCCACAGGACTGAAAGGACTTGTGTCCCACTCAGTCTTGATGATTGAGGATCATCCTCAGCAAAAAATTCCTGCTATCCATCAAGGTCAGAGTGATGTGCCAAGGGAGTACCTGCATTGTTAGGCCAAGTTTTTTCATCCTGTCCTTTCCCTCTTTGGTCCAAGGAGCAGGTTCTTCATCATCCCTCCTCAGCAGGTAACGCCACACCAGAAATCCAGACTTCCCAGTCTCAGGCCAGTACTTCACCACCTGAGGGAGTCAGAGCAAACCCATCACACACTACAAACCCTTGGCCAGAACCACATATCCTCTCCCAGTCCCACCAGCAAACCCCAGTCCTCCTTACCTTATATATCCCATCATATCTGTTCCCTTCCACTGGAGCATATTTACTGTGTTTGCCTCCTTTGACATTCCTGACCACCCGGACTGGTTTCCCAGCTCTCCAGTCCTTGGATTCAGCTCCATGTTTGTCGTTGATGGGAGCACTGCAGTTCAGAGCCAGAGCTCTGCAAGAGACTCCAGTTAACTCAGGCTATTTACCAGTTTGGCTCAACCAGTAACCACTTCATGCAGCTTGGGTAACAGCAAGAGCTCTGCAATTAAAGCTCCTGATGGGAGGCACATTTTGGATACCCTGATTAGTCATGACCTGACCCTAAGGCATGGACAGCTCCACTGTGTCCAGGTCTGTTTCTAAGAGCAGCAGTTCAGAATGACAAATTATTTTCTCTCCCAGAAATGACTGCAAAATCCCTTCAGGACAGAGCAGGAAAACTCCTACCCCAATTTACTCCTCTGTTCCTTAAGTTTCAGCCACTATTACATGTGACACTTAGACCAGTTACAAATCTGATCCATCAGAGTGCACTGGAAGAAACATTTCCATCGTGCAGCTGATCTGCAAAAACTACATCACAGTCCATTTTGACACTTTTCCCACTTAACCAACTTCCTCAGATCCAAAGAGCTTCTCAGGCTGCCAGGCAGTAAGGCTAGAATGGAGCACAAACGGTGCCAACCTGTTCATGTTGGTGAGTTTTTGATCACAGGACTGTTCTGCCGTGCGTTTGTTCCCAGAAAGGTCTCTCCCTCCGCTCCCTGTGTATGTGAAGGAATTCCCATGATCCTGAAATGGACACGGATGGATTCGACACAGTCACAAAAACAACTCGATAGAAGCACAAGAGTTTTAATCAAGGAGTTCTAGTAGGGGAGTGTCTGAAAAAAAATAATAAATAAAGAAAAGGGAAGGTGCTTCCTCTTTAATTTTCCTCTTGAACTCCAGGAGTTTCAGCTCCCAGACTGGGCCACTCTATGGTTGTCTGCCAGGAAAGGGGAGTCAGGGTGACAACTGTTGTCCTGTCACACACCTGAGCAGTGCCAAGGAGCTCTGAGCAGCTCTTGGCTCACACAGGATCTGCTGGAAGGGAAGATCTGACAGCACAGACCACGAGACTGGGTGCAGTGCAGACCCTCACAGGCACCTAAGGTCTCTGGAGTTAAAATCTGGTGACATCACATCTAATGCAGATGATCCTGTTGCTCAGGTTGGAACATTTTACTGCAGTTTCTCCTTTGCCTAGTTTTCTTCTGAAGATCCATCAACACGGGGAAGTGACTGATGTAGAGTGTGCAAAGTAACTAAGGCTAAGTCTTGCTTTGAACAAGTTAGTTTAGTTCTGGGACATGAATAATCCAAAAATCACTTACTATGTCATCTTCATAGCCTCCTGCCAGCACCAAGGAGTAGGCCCCATCGTTGCTTCTGCCATGTATCCCTGCCACGTGGGGTCTGTGCACTCCAGACTCACTCACCTGGGAAAAGGGATTGCAAGGGAATTGCTGCCAAGAGGCTCCAAACAGCAGCATCACCCCCTGCTCTTGGGCCTGAATTCACAGCACCATCTCAGCCTTGGTTTGCAGGTGTTACAGGGTGAAACTGCTCTCACCACTGTCCCCCAAAACAGGCAGAGCAATGACAAAGAAAAATGCTTCTAAAAAGAAAGAAGCCAGTGACTATTTCAGTAAATTGAACATGTGGATAAGTTTTGGGATGTGAATGGAGAGATCTGGATCTTTCTCCTGGAGATGTTTATCCAAAAGCTCCAGGGATTTAAGAATAACATAGATACTAGAATATTTATATAAGGTTTTGAAGGACTTGGAAGAGCAACCTTCACCTGGTACTGGAAATCAGGATCTGGATAGCTCAGTCCTTTTTCTTCCCCAGCATGAAAATCCAGCTACTACCAGGGGAACAGTAGGAGATACAAACAGAACTCCAGGTCAAACTACTGGAAACAAATGTGTTTGCTTTGGGGTTTTTGAATTACCAAAAAGAACAGTAAAGAAAAATCAAGCAGCACTTGATAGGCCTGGACAATGCAGCATTAGTTATGGAACACTTGATGCAGACAAAGCCAGGATTGTTTCCCTCCTGCACTTACAAATCCAGGGACACACACTCTCCAGGATTCACTGGTTCAGGTTTCTTGTAAGAGCTGGATCATTCCCAGGTTTTTTCCCCCCTACAGTGGGTCAGGTTGGGATTCAGCTTCCTACCTGCACTCTGAATTTCCACATGGTGCCAACAGGAATCCCAGGGATGGGGCCATAGTGGTTGGAGGGGACAATGGTGCATTCCTTGGTGCGGCCAACACACGCCATGCCCTGGAGCAAAGAGCAAGAGAATCAGCCCAGAATGACAAGGCACTGCACACACAGGTCTCAGACACAGCTGGGAACTCACCTTGCCCCAGTCCCTCCGTGAGGAGGAGTTGGCAGATGCCATCTTCTGTTTCTTTTTACTTTCCTTTAGTTTCTCTCCTGCTAAAACCACCTCGCTCGCATCGTTTCGACACTCGGGGCAATACCTAAAGGCAGTGAAAAGAGGCAAAGCCTGAAGTGAGCAGAGAATTTCCTCAAAACACACTGAGTCAGGTTACAATTTCCCCATGTGAAACTAGACAGGGCATGGAAACACTCTCCATTTTGGCAAGAGACCTCTATCAACCCCTGTCCTTGCACCACCTACTAATGCACTGCAGATGTGTCAGGAAAAACAGCTGAACCTTAAGATCAGTGTATGAACTGCTCAAGCAGAGCAGAGGGAATAAAACAGTGTATTCCACTCTCTCTATGTGAACTGAAAGAGCTGTTGCCCTACATCTATCCCAATGGGTTGGGTTGGAAGAGACCTTAAAGCTCATCTTGTTCCACCCCTTGCCCTGGGACACCTTCCACTAGCCCAGGGTGCTCCAAGCCCTGTCCAACCTGGTATTGGGCAGGTACACACATCAGGCATCGACCTCAAAACCAGCAAATGAACTTTGCAAGTCACTGGCTTAAAACCTACTGTAACTATGCTCAAGAAAAGCTATCAAGTCCTAACAAAATTCCCCCAAAACCCACCTGTACAGCCTCAATATTGCCACCAAAGGGCAGCTTGAAGCCACAGAGCTCACTGTGTGCTTCTAGTTGGATGGGAACTGTGAGACCACACACACCTTGTCAGAACTTACCAGTCCTCATCGTCTGGAATGCAGCTAAGGGGAGGGTTGAGGCAGTAGATGTGGAAAGCCATGTCACACTCGTCACACATGAGCTGCTTCTCTGGATCTTGTTTCCCTCCACAGATGTGACAAGCACAGACTCTGCAGGTCTTGTTTGGGTTGTCCTTACAGGCTTTACACACAGGTCCATTCTGTCCTGTGAGCAAACAGAAACCAGGGAGTGAGAGAGAGACACTGGAATGGTCAAAGGAGGTGCAACTGCAAGAAGTGACTTGGGACTGTTAGACCCTTAATCCTCACACAGACAATCAGCAGGAGATCACAAGGGAAGAGGGAGACACAGAGAAGTAGCCAAGACTCACGTCTGGGTGCCCCAGTGCTGATGGGAGAGGCAGTGCCTGGTTCCTCAATCCTGTAGATCTCATCCACTAAGGTGATGGTGCAGTCGTTCAAGGAGTCACCTGCATCCCTGGGAGAGGGAAGGAAAGCAAGAGATCTGGAAGTTTTCC